CTCTGCGCCCAGAGCTATCACAAATTACTTTCAAACTAATATCCCATAATTCTATCTGTACTCTAGAACATAGTTGTCCAACCTTTTGGCTTGCTGGGCTGCACTGAATGAAGGAAAATCGCTTTCAGCTACATATTTATTTTATTTATTGAAGAAAATTTATATGGCTGCCCAACGCATTCTCAATTATTCCGGTCACCTTACAAAGATAAAATATATAATATAGTTATTTATTTATTTATTTATTTATTCAATTTATATACCGCCCTTCTCCTATTGGACTCAGGGCGGTGCACAGCCAAGGATAAAAACATACCAATACAAAATTTAAAATCAATTAAAAGAATTATACAGCTTTGGCCCACAATTTAAAACAATCCAATTAAAACCCAATTTACACTTAAAAAGCTAAAAAGCGCTAAAAAGGGGGGAGGGTTTCACGCCAGCCCTGCTTGATGGAAAAGTTTTAGAGCACGGCGAAAGGCCCGGAGATCTGGTATCCTTTGTATCTCCGGGGGCAAATCGTTCCAGAGGGCGGGAGCTGCCACAGAGAAGGCCCTCCCCCTGGGGGTCGCCAGCCGACATTGCCTGGCTGTCGGCACCCTGAGGAGTCCCTCTCTGTGGGACCGTACTGGTTGGTGGGAGGCAATTGGCGGCAGAAGGCGGTCTCGCAAATACCCAGGTCCGATGCCATGGAGCGCTTTAAAGGTGGTGACCAACACCTTGAAGCGCACCCGGAAGACCACTGGAAGCCAATGCAGCTCACGCAGGATAGGCATCACATGGGAGCGCCCTCTTGCTCCTATAATCCCCCGCGCGGCCACATTCTGCACTAATTGGAGCCTCCGGGTGCTCCTCAAGGGGAGCCCCATGTAGAGAGCATTGCAGTAGTCCATACATTGCAGTTAATGTATATAAAAAACAAACTTCCTTGACTCTTTTTATATTTAAAAAAGCCAATGCATTTTTGTGCTAAAAATCAGTTCTAACCCAAATAATGAAATAATAACATTTGGCTAGTAGAACACAAAATGACATCTCCATAAAGGCAAGTTTGACTTTTGACTCAAAGTTGTTCTTAAATTATGTATACATAAATTAAATATAGAACAATAATAGCGTTAGAATGAACCTCTTCTAGTCCAACCCCTTGGTCAACCTTCTACCATTTAGTAGGCCTTCTACCATTTCAGACAAATGTCTGTCCAGTCTCTTCTTAAAAGCCACAACTTCTGAAGGCAAGCCATTCCACTGTTAACTGTTCTCACTGTCAGGAAACATCTTAGTTCTAAGTTGCTTCTCTCCTTGATTAATTTCCATCCATTCCTTCTCGTCCTGCCCTCAGGTGCTTTGGAGAATAGGTTGACTTCCTCTTCTTTGTGGGAGCTCCTCAAACATTGGAGCTATGCTATCATGTCACCCCTAATCCTTCTTTTCACTAGACCAGACATACCCGATTCCTGAAGCCATTCTTCATATGTTTTAGCCTCCAGTCCCGTAATCATCTTTGTTGCTCTTCTCTGCACTCTTTTTTGCACTGTGGTGACTCATAATAAATAGCAGTTTTAGTATCTCTTCCCAACCTACATAAAGAAAGCATCATGCAAACTAGCTTCATGTAAGGTTTCCAAAAGTGGGTACTCAATGCACTGCTCCAAATGAACTGAGCAGAAAAGTCTTTGTAAGCTGAGACCAACCTGAGGCCAGGTAAATCCCCAGAACCATTAATGCATCTTTCAATATTGGAAATGCAGAATGAAGAAAATCAGTTACAAATTCTGTAGCCTCCATTATGTGCGTTTTCATGGCTGTTAAAAATTGTTTTTGCACTCACTTAGACCACAAAAACTTGATGTAATGATATGTGGGCCACAAGCACAGTCCTGGGCAAAGAGATTGGTACTTCTGCCATCTGAAGACGCATAAATCAGCCCACCAAACGGAAAAGGAGAAAGAGAACTTGCAAAGGCTTATTAGCATAAGCAACTTTACAACAGCATAGGAGAGGCAAATGAGAATAATTATGATTAACATCTCCTCTCAGTGGCAAATTCTGAAACTGCAGTTACATATCCTATAACCCACTCACCGTCCATGAAAAACTATACAATTTTTTGCAGCTACAAATTTTCAGAATTTCAGTCACAAATTGACTTCCGTGGACCTTACATCATATTTAAATGGTCAGTAGAGGGGGCATGCATAAGTGCACTACACTGAGTGCGCCTAGGAGTTGTTGCTATGTTGCATATATGTCCAAAGCCATTCCGATTATTTTTTTTATTATTTCTATCACTGAATTTTATTTGCAGTGATTGTTGAAGGAAGTTAATTACTGGAGGGGAAAAAAACCCAATAATTTGACTGCACTGCAACTAAAATATTTGTGCTTTGTGGGGCTTGTGCCAACATACAGCACAGTGGTTTGTTTGTTTTTTTAAAGTTAGATTGGATATGGTTAAAGAGCTACATAGATAACCAATCTATCAAATATGATTTTAAAAATAACTGAGAGGAAGAGTGGTCTAATCTATCAAGCCAGGGAGCAGTAAAAACAATTTAAACGTATTGCGCTTTGGCCCCCAGCAGTGAGTAGCACACAACTATTGTCCTATGTAGGGGTTCCCTTTCAGCCTACACTGGAAATAAGTTTGAGACAAGCTCTTCTCGTGTGAAACAGTTAATGTGCAGGATTAATTGTGCATGGTGCGAACAAGATTTTTAAACAGCAGCCAGAAGGGTAGTGTAAATCCACTCAAATTACTACCTCCATTCCCTAAAGACAGTGTCAGTGTAACTGATCATTTTGCAAAGGTTAATACAAAAAAACTTGCAAAAATCAAGAGAGATGGAGTAGCCCACCTCAATTTTTCACCGAGGTCTCTCTGGAACTTTTAAAGCAAAGTTTTTTTTTTCCCTGCATCCATTCTCTCTTAAATAATGCCATCCCATTTTCCAGCTGGGACTACCCAACAGACTTTGGAAATATTGCTGCTTATTTCAAACCACCTCCGCTTAAAATTGTGCAGTGCAATCCTATACAAGTTTCAAGAATTCAGTTTTACTGAATTACATGGAGCACGCTCCCCATTAAGGGAGGACCAGATTGCAAAAATAAAGGCTTGTGTATTTGAAAAAGAGTTTTAGCAGGGCAGTAAAGCTATGCACTTTATATTTGGGTGAAAATAGCACATTCAGCTGCAGTCAAACTTCTGTCCTTTGCCTGTTGATCGTCAATGAAATAAAGGGAACGTGGAGTTTAGTAGACATAGATTGAAGGGAGAGGATGGAGCTACGCAGTCCCTACACATTTTCCGTGTAAATTGTGTGTGTTTATGGGGGGGGGGGGGTTCCTCCTCGTTTTCAGATCACTGGGAAACAGCGATTCAAGGAGGCGCCGATTTGACTCCTCCAAACACCGACTACGCCTATCCAATCTCCCTCGAAGCCGGTGGTGGAAATTCACTTTTAAAAAGTAACGCACTAGCGGCGGATCGTGAGAGAACGCAAACTTCCACCTCTGGGCAATCGCAATCGCTTAAGGGACTTTTGGGGAGCGGAACGTAAAAAGCAACGCGCATCCCGAGAGTGGAGCTGGGAACTTCGCTTCCTAGTTAAGACCTAGCTTAAAAGCACTGCATTTGTGAATGGAGGGGAGGGGGAGAGAGGGAGGGAGGGAGAGAGAAAAAAGGGGAGAGAGAGAAAGAAAGAGGGGGAAGAGAAAGGGAGAGCGAGAAAGAGGGGGAGAGAGAAAGAAAGGGGGGAGAGAGGAGAGAGAGAAAGAAAGGGGGAGAGGGAAAGGGGAGAGGGAAAGAGGGAGAGGAGGGAAAGAGGGAGAGAGAAGAGAAAGAGGGGAGAGAGGGAAAGAGAGAAAGGGAAAGAGAGAAAGGGAGAGACAGAAAGAGGGAGAGGAGAGAGAAGAAAGGGGGAGAGAGGGAGAGAGGGAGAGAGAGAAAGAAATGGGGGGAGAGGAAAAGCGAGAAAGAAAGAGGGGAAGGAGAAAGAGGAGGGAGAGAAAAAGAAAGGGGAGAGAGAGAGGAGAGAGAGAAAGAAATGGGGAGAGAGGAAAAGCGAGAAAGAAAGAGAAGAGAGAGAGGGAGGGAGAGAGAAAGAAAGGGGGAGAGAGAGAGGAGAGAGAGAAAGAGGGAGGAGAGAGAAAGGGGAGAGAAGAGAGAGGGAAAGAGGGAGAGAGAGGGAAAGGGAGAGGAGAGAAATAGGGAGAGAGAGGAGGAGAGAAAGAAAGGGGAAGAGAGAAGAGGGAGGGGGAGAGAGAGAGGAGAGAGAGAAAGAAAAACGGGAGAAAGAGGAGAAAGGGAGAGAGGAGAGAAAGAGGGAGAAAGGGAGAGAGGAGAGGAAAGAGGGAGAGAGGGAAAGAGAAAGAAAGGGGAGAGAGAAAGAAGGGAGAGAGGAAAGAAAGGGGGAGAGAGAGAGGAGAGAGAGAGAGAAAGAAGAGAGAGAAGAAAGAGGGAGAGAGGAGAGAAGAGGGAAAGGGAGAGAGGAAAGAAAGAGGGAGAGAGGGAAAGAGAAAAAGGGGGAGAGAGAAAGGGAGAGAGTAGAGAGAAAGAAAGAGGGAGAGAGGAGAAAGAGAGAAAGAGGGTAGGAGAGAAAATGGGGAGAGAAAGGAAGAGGGGGAGAAAGAGGGGGAGAGACAGAAAGAGAGAGATAGAGAACAGCTACGCAACGGCGAATCCACCGAAATCCCGCAGAAGAACCGACCGATTTCCAGCTTAAACTCGCGCGGAAAAATTCGCCGTTTTCCCAGCCGCACTGCCCCCGCCTCTCTCCAATTCCCCCTCTACCTCCGCCGCCCCCCTTTCCCCCCCCCTTTTTTTTTTTCCCATTGCTCCTCAGGCTGGCTGTTCCCGGGGTCGTTCCGTTCATCCCTCGGGGAGAAGCGCCAAACCGTGCGCGGGTCTCTCTCCTCCCGGTTCGCCGGTTCCCAGGTAGCGCCTTCTCCGCCCGCCCGAGAAAGGGACGCCGCGCCGCCGCTCCGTGCCCACCTGTTGATGCGCCCAGAAGCGCCAGCAAAGCCAGTCTGAGCGCCCAGCGGCTTCCCATAGCGGGGCTGTCCGAGCGGGGAGTGGGGTCCCTCCGGGCTGACCTCCTCAGGCGAAGCTTCCCGCCTCACCTAAAGGAGCCCAGGCGCAACACGCGCGTCTCAGCCCCGCGCGCGAAGAGTTCCCACTCCCGCCCCCCTCCTCCTCCTCCGGCCACGCCTCTGCCCCTCCCTCACCGGCAGCCCACTGGCTCCGCCAGACCAGATTCACGCCGTGGGGGGTGTAGAGAGGGGGGGGGGAGGCTTTGCGCGCGCGGGAGGGGGAGGCTTTGGGGAGGGGGGAGGGGTTTCCCGGGAACCCACCATCCCCCCCCGGAGGTGCCGCTTTCAGCTTCGATTGTATGAAACGGGTTAAGCGAACTTCCCTCGTTTTGTTTCGTGGGGGCGAGTATTGAGGGGGGGGCGGCGAGGGGGGAGCAAACCACCTGCCCAGAAATAAGAGTTGTATTCCACATGGTCCTCGACTGACAACCGTTCATTTAGTGACCGTTCGAAGCAGTTACCACATCCCTTGGGAAAAAGGGGGACTTCTGGACATTTTTTTCACACTTAATGGCCAACATTCCTCAAAAAGGGACTTTTGGAAATTTTTTCACACTTAATGGCCAATATTCCTCGGAAAAAAGGGACTTCTGGACATTTTTTTCACACTTAATGGCCAATATTCCTCGGAAAAAAGGGACTTCTGGACATTTTTTTCACACTTAATGGCCAATATTCCTCGGAAAAAAAGGGACTTCTGGACATTTTTTTCACACTTAATGGCCAATATTCCTCGGAAAAAAAGGGACTTCTGGCATTTTTTCACCCTTAATGGCCAACATCCTTCGGAAAAAATCACTTCTGGCCATTTTTTTCACACTTAATGGCCAACACATCCTTGAAAAAAAAGTCACTTCTGGCCATTTTTTTTCACACTTAATGGCCAACATCCTCGAAAAAAGGGACTTCTGGCCATTTTTTCACACTTAATGGCCAACATATCTGGAAAAAAAAAAAAGGGACTTCTGGCCATTTTTTCACACTTAATGGCCAACATCCCTCGAATAAAAGGGACTTCTGGCCCTTTTTTTTCACACTTAATGGCCAACATCCGTCAAAAAAAGGGACTTCTGGAATTTTTTTTCACACTTAATGGCCAACATCCCTGGAAAAAAGGGACTTCTGGAAATTTTTTCACACTTAATGGCCAACATCCCTGGAAAAAAGGGACTTCTGGACATTTTTTCACACTTAATGGCCAACATTCCTCAAAAAAAGGGACTTCTGGACATTTTTTCACACTTAATGGCCAACATTCCTCGGGAAAAAAGGGACTTCTGGACATTTTTTCACACTTAATGGCCAACATCCCTCAAAAAAAGGGACTTCTGGCCATTTTTTTCACACTTAATGGCCAACATCCCTCAAAAAAGGGACTTCTGGCCATTTTTTTCACACTTAATGGCCAACATCCCTCGAAAAAAGGGACTTCTGGCCTTTTTTTTTCACACTTAATGGCCAACATCCGTCAAAAAAAGGGACTTCTGGATTTTTTTTCACACTTAATGGCCAACATCCCTGGAAAAAAGGGACTTCTGGAAATTTTTTCACACTTAATGGCCAACATCCCTGGAAAAAAGGGACTTCTGGATATTTTTTTCACACTTAATGGCCAACATCCCTCGAAAAAAGGGACTTTTGGTCATTTTTTCCCACTTAATGGACATTTTAGACACATTTTCTACAACCTTTGATGCTCACCGTTGGTGATCACTGTTCTGATCACCTTTGGTGATCGAAGTTCAGATGCTTGGCATCTGACTTATGTTTATGACGGTCGCAGTGTCCCAGGCAGTGGTGGGTTGCTACCGGTTCGGTCCGGATCTTGCGAACCGGTAGTAACGGCGGCAGGAGGCTCCGCCCACCCGCCCGGATGTTATCGCAGATGCTCTGCACACGGAGAAGCACTGCGAGTGAAGCGAGAGCGCACGGACTCCCGTTGCGAACCGGTAGCAAAGGTAACTGGAACCCACCCTTGGGGTAAATCGTGATCCCCTTTTGACAAACAAAGTCGATGGGGAAGCCAGATTCACTTCACAACTGTGCTAATGTCACAACTGCAGTGATTCACTTAACAATTGGGGCGAAAAAGGTCATAAAATGGGACAAAGCTACCCTTAACAAATGCCTTGCTTAGCAACATAAATTTTGGGCTCACTTGTGGTCGTACGTCGAGAACTAGTCGTCCTAGTTATTGTTGTTTTTAATGGGGAGGCCGAAAGAGCCATAACGTTCAAGGGCTTCTACAGGTAGTCCTCGATTTACAACAGTTCGTTTAGTGGCGGTTCGAAGTGACAACAAAGTGATTCATGATCGTTTTCCACACTTACGACCCTTGTAGCATCTCCGTGGTCACACACGATCAAAATTCAGAATGCTTGGCAACTGACTCATATTTATGACGATTGCAGTGTCCCGGGGTCACGTGTTCCCGTTTTGCGACCTTCTGACAAGCCAAGTCATTGGGGGGGGGAGCCAGATTGACTTAACAACCATGTTACTAACTTAGCAATTGTGGTGATTCACTTAACAACTTTGGCGAGAAAGATCATAAAATGAGGCAAAACTCACTTAAACATCTCCCTTAGCAACAGGAATTTGGCACTCAGCTGTGGTCATAAGTCAAGGACTACCTCTACTGTATTACAGCCTTTTAATGGAAAAAAAAAAACTACCTGTGCTTAAGACTACCACGTCAATTTGCCAATAATGCCTGGGAAACATCTGGCTTGCTTTGTGCAGTGAAGTCGTTATTTATTTATTTATTTATTATATTTCTATACCGCCTTTCTCCCGTAGGACTCAAGGCGGTGTACAGTCAAGAAAAATATAGACACACAAACATCATAAAATTGCTAATTAAAATTATTACTTAGTTTGGTCAATTAGTTTGGTTGTGGAGTCTTTTTTTTCTCCTTGCCAACGAAATGCAAGCAAGACCAAAATTTGACCTCACCTTCTCTTCCGCAGGCGGTTTGAGCAAGGAAACATCAAGGAAAACCAAGAGAATCCATGGCTCTCTTTTTCTCTTTTATGAAATTCGGTTAATTTGGCTCTTTGGCAGGATTCACCCAACATGAATTGCACTAAAATTTGCATTGACTAATTTGTGGCTTGATGCCCAGAGTATGGAAACTCCACTTAAAGACTATATGAAAACTTATAATAATCCAAAGTGCTTATTAATAAAACAAATCTGAGTGTGGGCAATTAAGGCTTATTGTACACCTAAATACGGTCTACTTAATTGTATCCCGGTGTAATTTCATAATGTACATCATCATTTCAGTGTGGACACTTTAGGCTACACTTTCATCGTCCTTGAGTTCTGAGCTTTGCTTCCAAAATAAAATAATGAAAAGGAAGTTGGAGAAAAAGTAACAGAAGCGGGCAAGATTAAACCTTTTTTTATCGTTACTGGTTTTTAAAACTTATAGATTTGTGGGTGGTAAACAGGCAGTGCAATTTTACATTTACCAGCCCTGTGATTCTATGATTTCATGCTTCTGTTTTTTCCTCCCTAACTGTTCTGTTCAGAAGTAGGCTCCTTAGAAGGTTGCAGCCATAATCAATTATAATGTGGTTTTCAAACTGTATGTCTAGGAATAGTAAAGGAAATATGACAGATTAGCGACATGATTGTGGATCTTCCCTTCCCAACTTGTTGCTGTTTCCTTACAATTTATATTGTTTCCCAGTATGATTCGATTGCTTATTTGTACCCTATGACTATCATTAAGTGTTGTACCTTATGATTCTTAACGAATGTATCTTGTCTTTTTATGTACACTGAGAGCCTATGCACCAAAGACAAATTCCTTGTGTGTCCAATCACACTTGGCCAATAAAGAATTCTATTCTGTTCTGTTCTGTTCTATTCTATTCTATGACTGTCATTAAGTGTTGTACCTTATGATTCTTAACGAATGTATCTTGTCTTTTTATGTACACTGAGAGCGTAGCACCAAAGGCAAAGTCCTTGTGTGTCCAATCACACTTGGCCAATAAAAAATTCTATTCTGTTCTGTTCTGTTCTGTTCTGTTCTGATTCTATTCTATTCTATTCTATTCTATTCTATTCTATTCTATTCTATTCTATTCTATTCTATTCTATTTACGACTGTCATTAAGTGTTGTACCTTATGGATTCTTAACGAATGTATCTTGTCTTTTTATGTACACTGAGAGCGTATGCACCAAAGACAAATTCCTTGTGTGTCCAATCACACTTGGCCAATAAAAATTCTATTTGTCTGTCTCTGCCTGTCTGTCTATCACGTGCAGTACAGCAGGATTGTGTAGTCACACTGCTATATGATTCACTTTTCAATAAAAGGAGGCTCAACGCCACTAAAACTGATGCACCATGTGATTGCAAGCTAGGGTGAGTATTCTAAGCCCCTGGGCCTAATTTTATACGGCTGTCAGCGTGTGAATGGTTCACTTTTCTAACGAGAACAATCTGTCACTCCCACAGCAGCGCGCTGGTAAGGAGGAAGAAGGAATGAGAAAACAGATGGCCCAATGCAGGGAGAAGTGGAAGAGCATGGCTCATATCACGGATGGGCCACCTTTGTTCTGTGGATAAGTGCAACCCTTCAGGCGTAATCTTATTTTGGGAGGGTCACGTAATGGACAAGCCTGAAACCGGATCCAAAAGTTGATGAGGACGTTTATTGTCTTGTCTGACCTACTCCTTTTCCTCTTTCTAACATCCTCTTTTAAGAGAGAGCTGACTTCCTGGAAGGTGTTTCAAAATTGTATCAAGGAGGCCCACGTGAAGCCAACTTGAGAACTTCTCATGGCCCACTCTCTAGGCGTACTTTCTTTTTCCCCCTTCGAGGTGGCACAAATTGTGAGATGGGCCAAGATTTTTGGCAGCGTTCCAGTTTTTGAGGGAATGGGTGTTCCAAGTTTGTAATGTTAGGAATCAGAACTAAAGGATGAAGTAACATTGCTAACCCCAAACATGGGGAGTTAAAAGACGGCTGTGGCTCCCTCAATCAAAATGCAACTCCTGACACCCCTAAGCGGTGTTCTT